ATAAGAGCTGTTCAAAAGTGGAATATCCTGCTTTGGAGAGTGGCAGAGTCTTGATCTTTTTTAAGGATGGGCTAGATGGCCCTCTATCAGGAGTGCTTTGATTGTGCATGGATGGGAGTTGGACTGCATAGCCGTGGGGGATTTTCCAACACTATGATTCTGTGATTCTATTATTTTTGACAGCTTTAATTAGATACTCATTCTCACTGAACCTCCGGCTTCCAAGTCTGGCCTGCATGATCTATGTAATTTATTTTGTCCAATGGAACATTTTTCAATGGCATCCCACTGTGGATATATAGCAGAGCAATTACATTTCAGTGCCTATTTCCTTGGGGTTGGTAGATGTTGCTACCTCTCTAAAGAAAAGCTGACTAATTAAAGCTTCCAGGAATTGACTAATGAATCTGGCAGAGCCGTTAACTACACTCATTCTGTGAGAGTATGTTGCATGTTAATATTGAGTAGAGCTAGGAGTCAGGTTGCACAGACATGCTAGCAAGCCCCCTTGGGATACAAGAGTATCTCTCCAAACTGTAGCATGAGAAAGCTGCTAATAAGGATAACCCAGAGGATGGAACACTTTTGCATCCTGGATCACTCTGAAAGGAGATTAAGCACCAATCTCTAGAATCTAGAACCCAAGGAGGAGTGAACTACCAAGCAATACCTTCAACACTTAACCCTGATATCCAGTCAGTAAGATTATTATTGTTAATAGAACTGAATACAGCCAAGAAATCCAAGAAAAGATGAGCAGGATCTAGAAGGCCAATTCACTTGAAACCTGAAGTTGACTAACCACCAATAACTTGATTGTAACAGGGATTTCTTTCAGCATTTTAAGTGTGGCACCAGAGGCGCTAACATGCTGGATAAAGTGTTTACCAGTATTAAACAGGGCTACAGGGTCATAACATTACCACACTGGGGACAGTCAGATTATCTGTCATTGTTCTTGGCACTGGCATATATTCCTCTCAGAAACAGGCCTTGCCTAAAAGGTAAAGGTTGTCCCCTGACATTGTCCAGTCGTGTCCAACTCTGAGGGTTGGTGCTCTTCTCCATTTCCAAGCCAAAGAGCCGGCGTTGTCCAAAGACACCTCCGAGGTCATGTGGCCAGTATAACTGCATGGAGCGCCATTACCTTCTTGCTCACATTTGCACATTTTCGAACTGCTAGGTTGGCAGAAGCTGGGTCTGACAGTGGAAGCTCATGCTGCTCCCCAGATTTGAACCTGTGACCTTTCGGTCAACAAGTTTAGCAGCTCAGCAGTTTAATCCACTGTGCCACCGGGAGGCTTCCTAAAATATTGCCTAAAATAAAGACTGTGAAATCCTTCACTTCACTTCACTTTATTTCTTAATTAGTCGCTCTCCACCAAGGTGCTCCGAAAGACTTACAATCTAAAATAGCATTTACACAATATAAAAACATTCAACATAAAAACATTCAACAGTGACTATTTGGCAAATTAGATCTGATTACTTAAATTCACAACCAAACAGCCAAGTCTTGAATGTCTTTACAAAAGGTCGCAACTCCGACATTGCTCTAATGTATGGAGACAATGAGTTCCACAGAATTGGAGCATAGGTCGAAAAAGCTCTACGCCTTGTAGCTTCCAGGTGTACCAGTATGTATAGGGCCCAGTATGTATAGGAGATTTTCCTGGGTGGATCGAGGTGACCACTGATGGAGAAAAGGAATGAGGCGGTCCCTAAGATATAGAGGTCCTTGGCCATTTTGAGCTCTAAATGTCAGGATCAGTATCTTGTAAGAGATCCGATGTTCTATTGGTAGCCAATGCAGTTGTTGCAGAATCCTGGCATAAAGATGTCTCTCAACAACTTCAGGATTGCTTTGGAAGGACAAATTGGGACATTTTCTATCACCCAGACCTGGAAGAGCATACTGCAGCTGTTCTGAGCTACATCAAATACTGCACATATAATATCACTGTGAATAAATGCATCTGGATTTATCTCAACCAGAAACCGGATGATCAAGGATGTCCAGCGACTTTTGTGTGACAGAAACCATGCTTTCAGGTCTGATGATGAGGTAAAATACAGTGTTGCCAGAGCAAGTTTCAAGAAAGGCATTCAGCAGGCCAAGATAGAGTATAAGAGGAAGGTCGAGGATCATTTCCACAGTAATAATGTGAGGCAGGTGTGGCAAGGGATTCAACAACTTACTAACTGTAAATCAAACAATGACATTCCTGCTGAGGAGGATGCTGCATTGACAGAGGAACTTTGAAGTAAGCCCACCAGAGGTATCTGGAATTCAGCAAGGCAGTTGAAGTTCCCACCTCACCGTGGAGGAACATGAGGCAAGGTGTGTTTTGAAGGCTGCGTATCCTAGGAAGGCTGCTCAACCAGGTGGCATTTCTGGCCGAGTGCTTAAAGACTGAGCTGACACTGTGATTTTTAATAGGTCTTTATCTCAGTCTATCTTTTTTTGAAGGCCATCATTGTTCCATTACCAAACAGGTCCCCTACCGATAAATTTTAGATCTACAGACTAGTGGCACTCACTTCCATCATCATGGAGTGCCTTGAAAAACTGTGTGTATGCCTATCATTTCTTGCCTTCTACATACATTGGACAGACATCAGCTTGCATATAGAGCCATCAGATCGACAGATGACACCATAGCCATCATGCTCCACACTGCTCTGGCCCACCTGGAATGATGGGGAACATCTGAGGATGTTTTTTGCAGACTTCAGTTCCACATTAAACATAATCTTCCCACATTATCTGGTGTTTAAACTTATGGATCTTGGATTGTCATATTCAATCTGTTCCTGGATTATGGACTTCTTGTCTGGGATGCCACAGGACTGTGTGTCGAGTCCTCTGCTTTATACATTGTACACATATGATTGCACCCCCGTCCATCATAGCAATATCATTACCATCCAGGAGAGAAACAGGTGGCTCTTACTACAACAGATCTCTTAATCAACACAAACTTTTCTCATTACTATAGTTCTCATAACCCCACAGCCAGCACCACCATTGGGCATACTGGCTGAGGGATTCTAGGAACTATATTCCCCAAAGTAGCTTTTACAAGGTCTCATTATAGTCTACGTTTCTTTTGAAATAAGGGCTGAAGTTTTCCTTCCATTGAGCTACGCAGTTCCTCTTTTGCACTGTGACATTTTTCAAGCACAAATATTAGGCTATTTTTCCATGAGAAACCCTGCCCTTAAGAAAAAACCTGCCAACAGATATAATCTGAGGACTGTGTGCTGCATTTGTCTCTGTCAGTTAGACCTTCAGCTCTATTGCAAAATAGTCCCTTTGTTTATCCCCCAGGACCCTAGCATTACAATTTCAGAATAACAGATAAGCAAGGGCTGAATTTATATGTCTCAATCCATTTTTCTTTTGTTCTTTTTCTTCTCTTTTGCATATCTTTCTTACAGTTGCCCTTGCTAATTCATTGTTAACTAGCTGTCCCCTACCACGTGTTGCTGTGGCCCAGTCTGTGTATATGTGTATTTATATATTTGTGTATATGTATGTTTGCATATATGTGTGTGTGTGTGGTTTTGTGCATGTTTGTTGGCTTTTTAAGTGTCTTCTGCTGTTTTTTTCAGGGTTTTTATGAGTGATAGTCCAAATTTGGTGTCAATTCATCCAGTGGTTTTTGAGTTATGTAAATCCCACAGTGGGTTAAACCGCCGAGCTGTTGAGCTTCTTGACTAAAAGGTCACAGGTTCAAATCTGGGGAGTGGCATGAGCTTCCTTTGTCAGCCCCAGCTTCTGCCTACCTACAGTTCGATTTTTTAAATAACTGTTTTTGCAACTACATACATAATGAGATATCTTGGACCCACATCTAAACATGATATTCATTTATGTTTCATATACTCTTCATACACATAGCCTGAAGGCAATCCTATGTGCAATGTTTGTGGTAATTTTGCATGAAATGTAGTTTTTATACACTTAAACATCAGAGAACAAAGGTGTGATTCTCTCAACCATCCAATTTTGTTTTTTTGGGTTTTTTTTAGTGTTTTGCATTTTGGAATTCTAGATAAGGAATGCTCATCTTATATAAGCTTTCTGCATTCAACCATGACTTGGATCCCCTTAAGGTAAAGGTAAACGTTTCCCCTGACATTAAGTCTAGTCATGTCCGACTCTGAGGAGTGGTGCTCATCACTACTTCTAAGCTGAAGAGCTGGTGTTGTCCATCGACACCTCCAAGATCATGTGGCCAGCATGACTGCATGGCGCACCGTTACCTTCCCGTAGAAGCAGTACTCACATTTGCATGTTTTCAAACTACTAGGTTGGCAGAAGCTGGGGCTAAGAACAGGAGTTCACCTTGTTGTCGCGAAGGACCTTGCGGTGCCTCTTGGCGCCTCCTTTCCCCAAGCCCTTGTCTCCCTTTCCGCGCCCAGACATCTCCCCAGATTCGAACCACCAACCTTTCGGTCAGCAAATTCAGCAGCTCAGTGGTTTAACCTGCTGCACCACCAGGGAGTAGCAGAATCCCCTTACCCCACCCCCCAAAAAGGTAAGAGAGATACATATATATGCTTGGAGGCTCATAGGCTTCTAGAGGACTTTCTCAAACAGTTGGCATAGTCTTTGTATAAAAATATGGGCAGGTGAGTTTCCTTTCATGTAAACACTTACTGCATCCATAAAACTCCAGCAAATACATTTTTATACGAGGAGCCTGGTCCCATTCTACTTACCTTTGAATCTTTTAAGATATGGTGGCCCTTAATCAGGCCTTACTTTGTTACATTGGGAATTATGGGAGTTGTAAGCCAACACATTTGGAGGACATGAGGCCAGGCATACAAAAAAAATATTTCTTAGACTACAGTTCCCAGAATCTCTCAAGAGTTCTTGGCTGTATCCCTACAAAATCGGATACCTTAACGACGTGGCAGAAAAGCCATTCACATGAAAAGCATTCCCAGCAAAACCAGAAAATGTAGACTGACCAAGCGTTTCCTCTTACCTTCCTACCGGTCCCAAGTCTCCTGAATCTTGGCTTCCGGCTTCGCTGGGAGTGCTCACTGATTTCGGAGAGGGAGACATAGGGGTTGGGACTAAATAATGAAAATAACAGGTATCCAATGTTAAAACATGCAACGACTGCACTGATGAAGAGCAGTGTCAGACAAATCATAAGCAAGGATTCAGAGGAGAAGACAATTGAATGGCCAGGAAGAGTTCGGGATGGTGAAAGCAAGAGAACAAAAAAGGAAAAGGAAAAGAAAAAGGGGGAGAATGTCAAGTGAATTCTAAACATTTTTGTTGCAAATTAAAGCTGGAATGAAATTTAGATTGAGATAAAAATGAGGCGTGATAATCTTGGAATTAAAGATTAGCTCTTTAGTTTTTCTGCCAACTCATTTGTATTTTCAGAGCCGTGTGCCTGTTCTAAAAGATAAGCTAGACCTTGGAACTGTTTCTTTGAATAATAATGAACCATTTAGTATGTGGTTTTGGCACAGAATTAAAATGATTTCCTTTCTAAAAAGAGCTATTGCCTGGGTAAAACCAGATGGGAAATTAAACAAGAATGAAAAGGCACACTATCTTTAAAGATACTTTCCAAATACTTTATTGGGTGTTTTGGGTTATTGATGTTTGTTGTGCTTGTATTTTTCCTCCATCACCTATTGCTTTTTAATTGGCTTTTTGTGGTGACTAGTGTCAGCTGATGCCCATTCACCATATTGGCATTTTTATCTTTTTTTAAACCTAGTGCAGACACATTGGGCAGTTCTTTGCCAACACAATAAAGCTGTCACACCTGGTCCTTACCCAATACCAGCTTTTTTCCTAAGATAGGGAAAAGGTTGCAAAAAAGAGAACTAGATCTTTATGATGTAATAGCCACCAAGCAACCTCTGGCTAGTTAATATGGGAGGGGTAGGAAACTGCATTTTTAATAAAGTCTGTCTAGCAGGTGTTAGAAAAATCCCTATGCCGAAGCTTGGAATTACTGTTTAATTAGAACTCCCCTAAATGGATCATTTCACTAAATTTAGGCAATAGGATTTTAAATTAGGAGGTGTGACACCGTGCACACTTGCCACTTTTCAAAGACCTCCTTTCCAAAAGAAAAGGCCTTCTTGTTTTCATATATTTATATAGTGTCATTGATGTAAAACAACAAACCAATGAAAAACAGCCAGGCTTTCCCCTTGCCACATGGAAATGCTTGGCTTGAGTTTCCAGTTCTATAGCTCCATATTGGCTAGATACAGAAAGAGTATGGGTGCATCTACATCAGTGGTTCCCAACCTTTTTTTGACCAGGGACCATTCTCCAACTTCAGTACCAAATGAGTTACAAATCAGTTTTTGATTGGTTTTGGTTCTTTGGGGTGCTGATTCAGAAAATCAAATTGGATAGACCACATCAGCTCTAGCGTCTAATACAGATCATATGTCATTCAGTAGTCGCCATCTGCTTGCCCACAGAAAACCATATTTAATAATCTAGAGCTGATGTGGTAGGAGTAATATTTCGTGAATAGTCAGCCTCTCCCCTTCCGACATCCCCATTGCCTTGGCACAATAAAAGAGTTTTGCGAGACCAGTCGCTCTCATTGCTACAGTATAGTAACGGTGAGGCTGTGGACCATATTTTAGTTCTTGTGGACCACTGGTGGTCCACGGACTACAGGTTCGGAACCACTGATCTACATAGTATAGCGAATACAGTTTGACAACACTTTAACTGCCATGGCTCAATGTAATGAAATCCTGGGATCTGGAGTTTGGTGAGGCACCAACACTCTTTGGCAGAAAAGGCTAAGGACCTTGTAAAACTACAGTTCCCATGATTCCATAACATAAATTCATGGTAGTTAAAGTGACATCAAACTGCATTAATTGTACAATGTAGGTCCACTCTATACCACCCACCCTCCAGGAGGACATGGACACTGCCTTAACATAGATGAGAACATAACAGTTTCTGTTATGCACGAAGTCAACAAAAAGATGTACTGAACTGGTCTCATGGATTATGATTGCGGATCATGTGGTTTTATAGTGATTGTAATGTTTTTTAAATGTTGTAATGTATTTCAATTTTGATCTTACAGTAATTTTAATTTAAATGTTTGTTTTAATTGTATATTGTTGTTAAGGCACTGAATTGTTGCCCATTTGTAAGCCACCTTCAGTCCCCTTTGAGGTCAAGAAAAGTGGGATATAAATATAGTAAATGAATAAATAAACAAATTGAAACCTCTGAGGTGCTCCTTTCTTTTTGCCTTACAAATCTGATGGAGCTTAAAGGAGAAGCTAGAGAACGAGTTCTATAGAATGAGTAGGCTTAAAATCCAGCCAGCTCATTACCAGAATGCCTAGTCCAAAACTTGAAACTTTCTTCCTAAGGATGTCGGAATGGCCCCATCCTTCTGTCAGCAAGTTAAAACATTTTATGTCATCAGACTTTTAGAAACTGGAGTAGGCTTTTAATGTTGTGCTGTGATGTTTCTAAGATTGGTATGTTGTATTATAATCAGTTTTGAGGTTTTTAGTATTTAATATTTTTAACTTTATTAAATGTTTAAGAGTATTTTTAAATGTGTATTCATATTTTTAGTGAAACTTGGGTATCATTTGAAACTACATTGTTTTTAACATGTTGTTAGCTGCCTTAAATCACATTATTATTCACTGACATTGCTCTGCTCAGTACTGAGAGTCCAAAGGAGATTGCATGTTCAGACAGTTACTTTTATATCAACCGGATAATGAATTCACTCTTAGCATTAACTTTTGAAGGACCTATCCAAGGTACTGAACCTGGTACCCAAAACATTTTCAACACCTTCAGATCTATTTTGTTTTGGAATCCTTAGTCTAAAATCCAGACTAAAATCCAGAATGGATTCTTCTGACATCAAAGCTATCAGCCTTTGTGAGTTATGTCTAAGAGATCCTACACTGAGCTATAGGAAATCCTATTATTTCAATATCAACTATCAAAAGGAAAATGCAAATTTGGTTCTACATTGGCACTGAAAAGCACAACAGCAATGAAACACACAAAAACAACTCCATTTGAACTAACTTTCAAATGAACAACTAACAGCCTCACAGAAGGAATGTGATTTATTAAATGCATAATTTAGTTCTGATTTAACTGTTTAGAAAGCAGCCTCAATCTTTTCACTATTTTTGCTAAATCTTTTACATCACCAGGAAAAAATGCCAGTCAAGTGGCTTGGCTGCAGTACAAGGTCTTACATACATTCTCTGTAGGAACTATCATTATAATGAAGTGGGAGTGCAAAAGACATTGATTTTTTGTGACAGCACTTTGGCAGGTAAAGGTGTGAAGTGTTAGGCGACATGCTCATTACATATTTCTGCTTCTTTGGTTTTATCTACATCAGCAGGAGCCAAATTTTGATTTGCATGTCTGTTCCTGAAGAGAAACACAATGGCTTTAAAGCCAAGGGTTGCATCAAGTAATTAACATGATCATCTGTCATAGTGCCAGGATTCAGGTGGGCTTCTTGGCCAAGATGTTCAAGAATTCATAACTACCATGTCCATCTGTTTGCTCTCTCCTTCTGAGTCCAGTATGACACAAGCAGGAAAAAGGAGGAAACATTGTTCATCTCTTTGCTTACAAGGCGCAGGTGAACTGGGAACTTCATCAAGAAGGTAGAACAAGGGGCTTGTGCACCTCCAAGTGTTAGTAGTGCTCCCCTTTCTGCTGTTTGTCTGCCCTTATTAAAATGGAGAGGGATTTGTTGCAGGAAACCATTATTAAAAATGATTGCCACTAGTCTGTTTCACCTCAAGTGCCCAACATGGAAAGCAAACTGCATTCTTTAAACGCCCCCATGTTGCTTCTGTATCTGTTTGACCTATCTATGGGCAAAAAAAGCACAAACAAAATAGGGAATGAGGGAGAGTTGATTTTCTTTCTCCAATTTGGGCAATGGAGAAGTAATGGGATGGGAGTTTTTTGCTTCTACCCCCTGCCACTGCTGTTAGGATGAGTACCAATTCCAGCACTGATCCATGTACAGTCAGCCCTATACATTTGCTGTGGACAGAGTCACAGGGTCACAATGAAAATGAAAAACCGTGTACAAAGACATTGCTATTTTTTATCTGAAAGAGCACCTCTGTAAGGATTTTTAGCTTCTCCCAGTATAGCTCTATAGTCAACTTCCACTGGAAGTCTGATGACATAATTCAACAACTATGCTGAATTGCTTCAGTGATGTGGAGTAATAGGCATTCCTATGGGCAATCTTCTACCATGTATTGACATTTTTTAAAATGTCCACTATTTCTATCCCGCCCTTCTCAATCCCCAAGGGGGGGGGGGGACGACTCAGGGTGGCTTATAAACTGGAAACAACATAATACAAATATAAACACATATAACAACAATTTAAAACAGTAAATAAAACATTAAGTAAAAACATGTTAAAAACATTGTCATCAACCATATAGCCAATTCCAATCCAATTTAACATCCAAGGTGCTGTCATGCTTACTGTCCAAAGGCCTGGTCCCAGAGCCATGATTTAACCTTCTTCCTAAAAGAAAGGATCTTGCTGGGGAGCGAGTTCCTGATCTCGCTGGGGAGAGAGTTGCACAGGTGTGGGGCCACCTCCGAGAAGGCCCTGTCCCTCGGCCCTGCCAAGCACACTTGCGAGGCTGGTGGGACCGAGACCAGGGCCTCCCCAGACAATCTTAAACTACGATGCTGTTGGAGTCCACCTCATATTATTCCTAACCATTAACCATAGTTCAACTCCAACTTAAGGTTCTCAAATTTAGCTTGGAGATATCTGATTACCACCCTCAAATGTCTTGCCTAATTTAGCCAAAATTTACCCTTTGTTGTGCATCTATGTGCTGCATCAGCCCCATTTTAGACTATTGTGTTATTTCATGTACAAGATACAGTTCTTTGTCAACTAATGGTGGAGTTAAGTGTTTGTTTTATCACATAAAATAATGTTTATCCAAATAATTTTTATTTAACTGAAAACAATTTTTAGATATTTTATCATTTAGGAGTAATTTTTTGTCTGCTGAATTACTGAATCTGTTCACTCTGCCTAGCTATTCAGTGACATTTAGCTGAAATAATTTTCCAATAAATTATGGAGGCGATCATCAAATTTTAATTTGTAGCATAAATACATAATTTGAATTTAGAATTAACCTATAATTATATGGGATGCTAGAAGCTTATACATACAGTTCAGCACTTTATATTTTAGGTACACAAAAGTAAGGTGGAATATGTGTTCACCTGAATCCTTTTTGACTTCCTTTAGTTAATTTAAACACATAAACAAACACACATACAGAAGGATGGAGAAGAGGCAATAAAATGGAACGAGAAGCGAAGAAATGAAAAATAACATAGACTACTGTTCTCAACAGTGAGCTCTGCACATACCACAGATACTTTCAAATATAAAATAAACTAAAAACAAAGCCCATAATAACACAATACATACTATGTTCCAATATACATAATTAGGATGAAATAAGAAACAGATGTGGGAAAATATACATACATAACAAAACTAAATGGAAGTTGCCTGTTAAATGTATATTATTTTCCCCTCTCTCTACAGATATGGGTTTTTATGGCAACACTTATTTTAAAGTGCAATACAGGAATTTATTTTCAAAGTGGAAAGTTTTTTATATGAAAGGAAATATTGGACGAATGAAGTTAAATAAAGCCTAGCATAAGACAGAGGTAATAGCAGCAGACTATGATATGGTTCAAGGAGAGGCAATTTTCAAGTGAATGAACAGAAGCAACACTAATCCACAAAGCCAACGTTCAGCTAAGATAACAATCAGAAATGCAATGAATTGGTTATATGGGTGATATGCATAGTGTATAAGCAGAACGTACTGCGAAAATGAGAAAAGCAAAGCATGCTCAGCTCAAGAGAATGCATGGAAATTAATGTAATGTTTCAAATGGCTTTCTCTTGAATACCTAGAGGTGGTTCTGGGGAAATACCAATGCTTTGCAATAAAGCTTCTGTCTCCCTTCTCTTGCGATCCAAGTCAGAGTCCTCTTGAGTGGGTTCCTTCTTTTGCTGAAAATCTGTCTAAAATAAAAGGAATGGAAAATGTGTCAGCAAGGTTGAAATAAGTTTGCATTAATAAGTATCTAAAAATATTTCCTGGCACCAATGCATGCTTTCTTTCCAGGTGAAATAGCAGGGATAACAACTGAATTTCATCAAGGATGTGTATATAGGTCCCTATCCTTCAGCCCTTGTGTTATTCAATAGACAATTGACTTTGACCTTAGCCATTGACAGAGGACACCCTTTTCAATTCACAGCTGAACTTGTCCGAAAATGTTGAACTTAGGTATAGTTATTTATTTTATTTTATTTTATTTGCTTTATTTGTATACCGCATTTTTCAGCCCAGACAGTTAACCTAGTTAGGCCAGAAGCCTCAGGTCCTTTCTACACAGCTGTATAAAATCCAAATTATGTGCTTTGAACTGGATTATATGGCAGTGTAGACTTAAGATAATCCACTTCAAATCAGATAATGTGGATTTTCTGCTTTGATAACCTGGGTTATCTTGCAACATGAAAGGGGCCTAAAATAATCCAGTTCAAAGCACATAATTTGGATTTTCTGCTTTCATAGCCTGGATTTTCTGGCAGTGTAGAAGGGGCTTCAGATATTCTCTCTAATGTTTTTTTAAAGGTAGCTAAATTGTTTGGTTGTTACCTTTAAAACCGTACATGGTTTGGATCAAGGTTACCTACAGGACCATCTCTTGGAACCCTTCCAGGGCCCTTCCACACAGCCTTACAACCCAGAATATCGAGGCAGGAAATCCCACAATAACTGCTTTGAACTGGGTTATCTGAATCCACACTCCCATATATTCCAGTTCAAAGCAGATAATGCATGATTTTATTCGGCCGTGTGGAAGGGGCCCCAGACAGGCCCTATATCTCAGGATCGTATCCCAGGTTTTCTGTTTATCCCAGATTATCTGGCAGTGCAGACTCATATAATTCAGTTTAAAGTAGAACGCCTGGGATCAGACCCTGTTATATAGAGCCTATAGAAGGGCCCTTGTATAATTTTTCCATTCATTCAGGTCTTAAAGTTTAAAGGAACTTTTCTTTCAGTCAGAAAGGACCAGGCTGACAACTATTAACTAAAGAACTTATCCACTGCCCACAAATTGTGGAATGACCTGCCAGAAGTACGCTAATAGCTAGACACACTGTCTGAGCTTAAAACAGCCTTAAAGGCCAATCTGGTTTTTTAAATATGAGTTTTACAATTAAGAAGTGCCTATTTTTAATATACATGTTTTGAAACTGATGGTATGCTGTTTTGACTGATTGCGTATTTTAAGTGGTGTTAGTTTATAGCTGTGTTATGTGTCTTTTTGTTGCTGAATTTTAATCTGTTGTTCCCCACCTCAATCAATAAGAAGAAGTAGGTAAGAAATATATTGTTGTTGTTGTTGTTATATCAACTCTGGGGCAAACAATTTAACCAAGATAAAGCCATTAAACATAGTAACAGTTAACATAACTTTACAACAGTTTAAAACTGTGTGCATGTATCATATGAAAAAAAATATTTGAAGGCATAAAGAAAAAGTCATGTTTTGGCTTGACAATGTTGACATCTGTCAGACCTTCTAGGGAAAAGTATGCCGCAAGAGAATTGCCAGAGCCAAGAAGGCCCTAATCTTTGTTTCATGTAGTGTATTGCTCCTCCGGATGTCAATTCTTGGGCAGCTATATACAGAGAGAATGTCTCATAATGTGAATTTTGTGGTGAACCCTTCAAGGACATGTCCAGCTTGGGGACTGCACAGTTTGCCTCATTTCCAGGTGACATGGGGGAAACACAACAACATTTAGACATGTGGAATCTCACATCTGTGATTTCAGGGCCTCGCCAGTGGCCAGGTTGGTAAATATGGTATTGGTTTGCAGGCATGATCACCCAATGTCTAGATATGTGCCTTCTTCTGCTGTGGCTTATTATTCTGATTATTATCATTATTGATATTATTCTAACAAATGAGGACCTCTACTGCAAACTACCCCAGTTCACTGCTGAGTCCACAAAAGCAAAAATACATTAAAATTGCAATGTCACTTTCTTACATCAACTCACACATCCTGATAATTGTATGAAATGCACGTGCAATATTAAACTGTCAGTTAAAAGCAAACTAGTCATTAGAAAAGGGATAACAGGTGCTTTAAACTATAGCAAATGTTGACATCTGAAAGAAAAGAAGCATAATCACTTAATGCTTCCTTGGCTTTGCATGAAAATGAATAGCCATTCCCTGTCAATTCTCATCTCTATTTCACTAATGACTGATCTTTTTGTTCGAAAAAAGTATGAATCTCTTAATGAAAAACCTCACACATATTGTCAAGGACAAATAAACTAATATGCCAGTCAAACCTTAATAGAATGAGAAGATGTTCCAAAGGGAAGGCTAAAATGCAACAGCCATTGTCATTTACTTTGCTGAAGAGCAGAAGTGCAAATCTGCTACCCTAGCAACCAAGCTAGCCAACCATAAGGAAGAGAAGGAAACCACAGGTTGCAAAATGAGCAACACACAAACCTCATCCTGGTTCTCACCTATAAGCAATCCCATTTCAAGTCACTGTTATTTTGACATCTATTCAAGCATCTCATATTTGAATATGAATTCTTACAATTTAATATCTCATTAACTTCAGTCTCTCATATATACTATGCTAGGCAGTGTGCCTTCTTCCCAGGGATCCCTATGACAAACACATTGCTCCTATCTTGATAAACATTTCAAACTGTAGAGATATTATGTTATAAGCTAAAACTATGTCCAATGACTGTAGAGCAGTAATTATACAAGGCCTGCTTTTTGTGTGGTCTCAGATATATCTGGAAATCAAAGATGAACATAAAATTGAATGGAAGTCATGATGAAATCTTTTATAATGAGGCACAAGAGCTTTCAGAATTAATGCGAGGAAATGGAACTACCAAAGAATTTAGAAAAAAATACCTTTGGTTTATTTATTTATTTATTTATTTATTTATCACATCAGGAGTGAACCAATGTATTTGAGAAAACGCAAAGTTTAAAAACTTGGCATTCTATTAAATGTTCTTTGACCAGTAGCTGGCCACTTGCTTTTGGTGACACATTGCTTTTGGTGACAAAAATTCTCATTATCGTACTGGGAAGGCCAAGAGCTCAAACACTGTTTTCATCCTAAATATCTCAATGTCACCTTAGATCAAACATTAACATTTAGGAAACACTGTATGAACACCAAGCACAAAGTAGCTGAACACAATAACATCCTGCGGAAACTTACTGGCAGTGCATGGGGTGCAGACCCAAAATTAATAAGAACATCAGCCCTGGCCTTGTCTTATTCAACTGCCAAGTATGCATGCGCTGTTTGGCACAAGTCTGTACACGCGAAGCAGGTGAATAAAGCACTGAACAAAACATGCAGAATAATCACAAGATGTCTCAAACCTACTACTGTTGATAAACTCTACAAGCTAGCCAGCACTGCCCCCATGATGTGCAATGGGAAGTTGCTGCTAACTGTGAGAGAAATAAGGTTGAACATTGTGAAAGCTATCCACTGCATGGCTATCAGCCTCCTCCCAGTAGACTTAAACCAAGAAAAAGCTTAATGAGAACCACCACTCCTCTTAATGTTCCCCCAGCAACAGCAAGGGTATCTCTCTGGGCAACTAAACCAGGAAATCCCAAATGGATGCTCCCCTCCCTCCAAGGGTCTGCCTCCAGGTATAAACTATGAATGGGCAACTTGGAAGTCCCTGAATAGACTAAGCAGCGGAGTGGTAAGATCAAAAGACAACCCAGCAAAAGACTACCTAGAGAAATCCTCCACCTTGTGCGGCTATGGAGCAAAGCAAACAATTCTGCATGTGTATGCTTGTCCACAGTGCCCTGCCTCATGCACAGAGGAAGAATTGTTTAAATTTACAGCCAATATGGTCACTGTTGCCCATTTTTGGTCAAAAATTATTTAATCACTTGTGCCCCCCCCCCTATTTTATTAGATTTATACTTATTTATGTAATGCTTTTGACACAAAATAAATATATAAATCATCTACTGTCAGCATACATACCCTCTGTTTTATGTTTATGTTTTCCAGTTTGTAAACATAGCTGCCTTCTATTTTACATTGATTCACTCATTTTGTTCCTCTGCTTGCCACCAATGCCTGAAGCTATCCAGATAGTGTGCAAGCAGAATCAGTTTTAAAAGTCTAAAATTTTAAAATATGAAAATACGTGCAACATAGCAATTACAATATCTATCAGTGTAAAAATATCAATCTAATTCACAGTAAATGCAACTTTTAAATTATATTTTCAAGTTTTTAAAATACTCATCACATCCCTTGTTTTCTGCTTCTATTCCACTATCGACAACATTGTTTGTATGCCATATGTGAGCCATGTGGATAATTTCTTTTTCTACACCAGTGGTTCCCAACCGTTTTTTGACCTGGGATCACTTTGAACAGAGACCAGTTTGACCAGGGACCACTTGATGAGGGACCACTTTTACCAGGGACAACTTGACCAGGGACCACTCTCCAACATTAGTACCAAAAGGGTTACAAATCACTTTGTGGTCAACTTTAGGTTCGGTTTGGTTATTTAGGGTGCTGATTCCGAAAATTGCATTGGATAGACCACATCAGCTCTAGTTTAGGATACAGAACATATGCCATCCAGTAGTTGCCATCTGCTTGCCCACAGAAACCCATACTTAATAATCTAGAGCCACTGACCTTATTTAGGTGGGTTGTGGCCCACAGGTTGAGAACCATTGCTCTACACATACCCATATGACCACATTCAAAGGTGAGTTGATACAGTCCCTGTAAGCCTCAACCAACGTGGCTTGAAAGATTGTAGATCCCAAAATAAAAGCAAAGAATCAGTCAGCAAATGCTATGCCTTCTTACCTCTTTCTTTTTCCTTTCCTCCTCCTTCCGTTTCTTCTCTTCTCTTATTTGAGCCAAGCGTTGCTTTTTGCGTTCAAGCTCAGCTTTTAAATCACTCTTGTCTGACATCTTGAGTCTCTGTTAGAAAGCAAAAACATTAACTCAAATGTTGGAAATGAATCTCTTTTTAAAAAATCAATGATGAAACCATTTCCCCTCCTTTTATAATGATCTTGATTGCTTGATAGTGTCTGGAAAGAGAAAAACAGCTCTCATACAAGACTAACATAATGTCATAAAGTCATATACCTTTGTACTACTATGATGGTCATGGAAACTGATGGAAGACCATTCAAAGTACTAAAAGCATTAAACTAGACAGTACATTGATTTCTAGAAAACACACATCTTCCTTAATACAACTGCAATAATTGCCACTTTGTGTCTGGTTATCTGAAAAGCCATAATCTCTCATATCTGCCTGCTCATATTTTGAGATCTGAGGATGATCTTTTCTCTGTCCCATCATCCTCACTGGTACATCTGGTGAAAACATGTGAGAGAACCTTTCTTGGTGCCCACTTCCAGATGGACACCTTCCCTTGTACCAGCATTTCATAAGAACTTAAAATTCTTGTTGTTTTAAAAGATTTTTGATGGTTGATTCCTAACTTCCAACACTTCACAATGGAAACCAAGATCAGAGATATTAATGAGGAACACACAAGCAGTTTACTTTTGCCTGAGCCAACTGGGAAGTCAATCTTCCACCTCCTGTCCTTTTCCTGCTGCTGAGAGCCCTTCTACGCAGCCCTATATCCCATAATATCAAGTGAGAAAATTCCACATTATCTGAGTATGGACATAGAGCCCTATATCTCAGGATCTGATCCCAGGTTTTCCGTTTTAAACTGGATTATATGAGTCCACACTGCCAGATAATCTGGGATAAACTGAAAACCTGGGATCAGATCCTGTGATAGAGGGCCTGTCTGGTGGTCCTTCCACAAACCCCTTTACCCCAGAATATCAATGCAGGAAATCCCACATTATCCGAGTGTCAACTCAGATAACCCAGTTCAAAACAGATATTGTGGGATTTTCTGATTTGATATTCTGGGATATAGGGTTGTGTAGAAGGGCCCTCTGTTGTGTGCAAACTTTGAACTGTTATCATCAATTGGAAGTAAGCCAAAGACAAAGAGGAAAAGTGAGAGGGGAGAGAAACTGAAACATTTAAAAAGCGGCTGATGAAATGGAACAGATGATTAATTGGCACTGTCTCAGACAAATTGATAGTAATTGGTATGCTGATTGCTCAGTGCGAAAAGCGCCTTTCAGAATATGTTTTGTTCATTTTTGTTTTCTTTTTAATTGTGTTTTTAATTCTATTGTAAGTTTAATTATATTTTTAATTTTGTATAATACGTATTTTAATGCTGTATCTGTTTTTAACATTTCTAAACTGCCTAGAGTCCATCATCACAGTCACCAATCATCATTACTAAGGAACATGGCCCGTCAGAACCCAAAACCTAGATTTTGAATTCAGTTATTACTGAAACATTTTCAATTCATGTTCAGCAACAAGGCAATGTATTGCAGCGCTGTTGGACAGTTAACCAGAATTCAACTGGGACCAGATATGAGAAAGCAAGCTTGTTTTCAGAAGCCCTGGATACTGGGACATGGAACAATGGCTTCAGACTACAGGAAAGAAGATTCCACCTGAACATTAGGAAGAACTTCTTGACTGTGAGAGCTGTTCAGCAGTGGAACTCTCTGCTCCGGATTGTGGTGGGGACTCCTTTTTTGGAGGCTTTTAAACAGAGGCTGGATGACCATCTGTCGGGGGTGCTTTGAAGGCGATTTCCCTTCTTCTTGGCAGGGGGTTGGACTGGATGGCCCATGAGGTCCCTTATCTGATTAATGAAAGGAGAAACCAGAGCCTGGGGGAGGGGAAAGCAGGGGAAGACCACAAAGGGAAAACATAACACTACCAATATGAAAAGTATTCAAATTATCAGTCCATGGCTTCATTGTGTATAATTGAGAAAAGACTCCATCAAAGGCAGAAAGAAAACTCGGGACAAGGGTCAATTATGCTCCCTTTTTAAAACTTTTGTTGTATGCCCCATTGCTCAATTATAATAATCAATTAATGGCAATATTATGCACATGCTGCTGAAGGCTATTATTTAATGGGTGCAAATTGATTTTAAAAATGCAAATTGATTTTAACATTTTTAAAATAGTCTAAAATGATGTGGTTAGATGAACTGTCTCTTTTCTGGCACGTTGGCTCTAAGCCACTTGGACAGAACACAGCAGAATGTTAGCACGCACAATACTCTCTGAAGTGTAAAGTCAACTGCAATTCTGCACATAGTTTATAGTGGAAAGAAGAATAATGCTTGTTTAGTGTGAAGAGTCACTAGTCTGGGACCATGCTGAAATTACCAAGTCAGCACAGCTACTGAATGAAAACAAAGCAGAAAGTCAAGAGAAACAAAAGTGAGATAAAGCCAGCTGAGAAAGAAATTAAGTCTGCCACTTGCTTCTCTATTCAGTTATAACTCATTTCCAAAAATATCCCTATCCTTTAGTTGTTATCACATTGGCAACAGCAGTAATGCAATTATGGTACATAATAAAAGAGGGCAAGCAGGATCTAAAAACCAGGATATGTGTGGTCAAGTGTCATCTGAGTGCACCAAGATAGCAATGATTTCATAATGAGGAAGATCAGACAAGTTATGAGGGTTGAATAAAAAGTAATGCCTCCACCTTCGTTACTTGAGTTTGGATGGGAATATTTTAATAAATCAAACACAGAAATAATCCATAGAATGGGCTCTTTAACACTATTTACTTGTCCACATAATCACCAGACAATTGGATACATTTCTGCCAACGATGAACAAGTTTTCTGAAGCCGTCACAGAAGAAGTTGACACTCTGTTTCCGCAACCAGCATCTCACAGTTCTCTCATCCTGGGTACCCATCGTGCACAGATCTTCCGATAGCCAAGCAAAGCAATAATGTGACCCACACGTTCTTGTGAAATGCTGATTATGCTTGAAATTTCTCTCTCAATCTGTCAACCTTTTGATTGCGAAACTCGGTAGGTGCTGTCACAGGACATCCAACTCTTTGTTTGCATGCAAGTCAGATGTTCCCACCTCAACATCTTTAAACTTAATCGCTCAATGACGCACAGCACTCACATCAACACAATCACCATAAACAGCTTGCATTCTCTGATGAATCTCTTTTGGGGTGACACCTTCTGCTGTCAAGAATTCAATGACTGCACATTGCTTCAGTTGCATTGACCAACTGTCTGTGCAGGGTTCCATACTTTACACTTTAACATCACAACCAATGCTAAGGCTTCCCACCAAAATGGAACTGTAGAGGAGAGTCTACTGAACAAGCCAGTAACTGCCGCATACCAGTACTTACAACTGTTGAGGCGTTACAAAGGTACAGGCATTACTTTTCATTCAACCCTCATAGAAATGGTTACAGAAGTTTGCCTTTGCCTGAGGCTGTTGGGAAGCACAAGAGTCCAAGCCTCCGCAAATAGAGGAAAATAGTGGAAGGATGAGAAGTTGGGGCATTAGAAGCCACTGAAAAAATGGGATGACATAGGATTAATTAGAGCTGTCCCAGCGTTTAAAGGACAGGTTTTCATATGTTTTGTGCTTTCATCATTTGAGATCACCCAACCTACTGAGCTGCATAGACGTTACTTGGGCCCCATCTGCAAAGCCATATAATGCAGTGCAGACTCATGTAGTGCAGTTCTGTTAAATTTATGTTGGCTAAATATAATATATATATATAAAGAGGTAGAGCGTGGAACCCAATGCAGTAGTAAGCAAAAACTTTATTTATTTATTTATTTATTTATTTATTTATTTATTTATTGTATACCACTTCTCTCACCTCAGTGGGGGACTCAAAGAGGTTTCCAACGTAATTATGGCAAAATTTAATGCCTCACATACAGAAACCTAACATAACGATAATAAAATACAATGATCAATTACATAATAAAACATGACATCATTTAACATTAAAGCATGGAATTAAAAACATATCACTATAAACATTAAAATCACACAATCCAATCATTGTAGTCCAGGCCTAATTTTGTTGGGGAGGAAGTTCCGTAGCTGAGGAGCCACCACTGAGAAGGCCCTGTCTCTCGCCCCCACTTGTGAGGGAGATGGAACCGAGAGCAGGGCTTCCCCAGATGACAATCTCCGAGATGGTTCATAGAGGGAGGTGTGTTCAGACAGGTAAGCTGGGCCAGAATGTTTAGGGCAGTGGTTCTCAATCTGGGGGCTCCAGATGGTTTTGGCCTACAACTCCCAGAAATCTCAACCAGTTTACCAGCTGTTAGTATTTCTGGGAGTTGAAGTCCAAAAACATCTGGGGACCCCAGGTTGAGAACCACTAGTTTACGGTTTTATAGACTAAAGCCAGCACTTTGAATTGTGCTCGGTAGCAAATGGGCAGCCAGTGGAGCTGGCGTAACAGGGAGGTTGTATGCTCCCTGTGCCCTGCTCCAGTGAGTAATCTGGCTGGCGCCCATTGAACCAATTGAAGCTTCCAAACAGTCTTCAAAGGCAACCTCACCTTATATTACGCAACTCTGTGTTTTCCACTACATTAAATTTCTTTGGTACAAGAGTTATCTGTTTTCATTTCAGATCAACTGGCATCGACACATTCAACTAAACTTGGCCATTTTAAATTTTTTGGAAGGCAGTCTGCCATTTCAACACATTGAAACAAACTTACTATGCAGAATTAACTAGATTCCTCATTTTTTTAAAGACCTCATTACTAATATGATCTTCTTTCCTCCGTAACCCAAAAGTGAATAATGGAATGGTTTTCCCACAGGCCTCCTCAGCACAAATGCAACATGACATCACCGGTTTTGTCCTCGACACAATGCCATCCTGTCTCATCAGCACATTTTTTAAAAAAATAAGGACAGCTTGGAAAACAGTGGAAGGGGGAAGATAAAGCATTGGGGAATAGAGTGTCCCTCAGTTGAAACATCACCGTGTTTCTGAGATGTTAGATAATTTAGTTCAAAACGTCGGAATACTTTTAACTC